TGGGAATCTGTCAAAAATTAATGGGCCCGAACTGAAGGCCCAAACCCAAAGTAGTGTAAAATGCTAGCTTGGGCCACCCGAGTTGCGCTCCTAGATAATAGCAAAAAGCAGAGCATGTTTGGTAGTAGCTTCTTCCTCCTTTCACTGCAATACCACTGTGCAAGACCCTCCACAGAAAGACTTTGATTTCGAGGGTTGCTTTGACTTCCTCTCCCCACCACACACACAACACACACACAAATTGAAGTATGCCATATAACAAGAGTAAGGGTTCATTTGGTTTGTAACTGGAATTGGAATAGAAATCCATTGGAATTGGAATCAGAATGGCCTACTCTCATAGTCTGTTTAGTTCAGACAGGAATGAAAATGGGATTCTGATTCTACTCAACTAAATAGTTGGAATCGGAATAGCCCATTCTGATTCAGATTCCAAATTCCTATTCCTGTAAATCAAACGAGGCCTAATATACTTTAGGCTGTGTTTGGTTGCAATGCAAATAAATTTGCACTAATGCAAAACTATGACTGAGCAAATGATTTGAGTATAAATTCTCATTTATTTTGTTTCAAATTTTAGCTTATTTTGTTTATTTACAGTACAAAAATGAAGTACATTAAGACATTAAGCAAAATAAAGTAAAATCCAAAATAAAATTAAACCAAAATTTGTATTTTTTTCATTTATACTTCCATGCATTTGTACTAATGCAACACCCAAACACAGCCTTAGGGAAAATCTATGGATACTGGAAAGACATGATACTGGAAGAGCATGGACCAATCAAAACAACCCCCTGGATTTTGATGAATACCACCTGATTGGTCAGATTAGTATTGGGCTTGTTATGGGTCAGATATGGTTGAGCCCAGCCAACAAAATATCTACCCGGCAGGGAAAGACTTTGGGCTTGTTATGGGTCAGACATGGTTGCAGCCGTAGCTACTTTTTTTTTTTTAGAATGAGGTGTTTAGTTTTATCTGAATTAGAATGTCACCGTAATGTATACAGGGCAATTATACCTACATATCATTTTTCTTGAGATTCACTATTTATTCAGTATATCTATTTTGAGTTTTTCATTTAATTTGAAAGGTTAATTTACAATCGACAATCTATTTTATTTAAAAATTATGGAGAAGTACGGACAGGCCCAATGCAGATTTTTTATTTTCACTATAGAATTATAAACATTTAAAATGTCAAAAATCCCCATTCTATACACCAATGTTCGCCCATGAATTGACATCAATTCCAAACTGACACCCACCTCTATGGGTGGCAAATGGGTGGGTTGGGTTGGGTAAAGGTTGAATATCAATCCACCCATATTGACCAACTAACCCACCATGACCCATCATCAATCCTAGTTAAAGGGTCATAACCCACCCACATTGACCCATCATATTAACCTTTAACCACCCTCACCCGTACTAACCCACCTACCCTACTTATAAATACAAAAATGGGCAGGGATGGCCCGTATACACAAAATAATAAATTTTGAGAGAATAACCTCTCTCAAGGCTGTGTCATGTGACAAAAAAATGAGTCGGGTCAACCCGTATACCTGGAAAAAGCAAAAATTGTAGATAAATACAGAAATTTGAAGAAAATATGCAGAAAATGCAAAAATATATCAAAAAAATGTAAAAAATACAAAAAACATAACAAACTATAGAAAATTCAAAACTTTTGGAGAAAAAATCAGAAAAATATGCAAAACAATACCAGAAAATTGTAGGAAATGCATGAAAATGCAAAAGAAAAACACCAAAAATTTGTAGAAATTGCAGAAAATACCAGAAAATGTAGAAAAATACCAAAAAAATTGAAAAAATGCAAAACTTTTATAAAAGTACTTTCAAGTGCTTTCATAAAAGTATTTTCATAAAAGCAATTTTATAAAAGCGCTTTTGTGTAAAAGTACTTTTATAAAAAGTGTTGTTATGCTTTCATAAAAGTGTTTTCGTAAAAGTGCTTTCGTGTAAAAGTGCTTTTATGATTTCATAAAAGTACTTTTGTAAAAGTGTTTTTATGCTTTCATTAAAGTACTTTTGTAAAAATGCTTGTGTAAAAGTACTTTCATAAAAGTACTTTTATGATTTCATAAAAGTGCTTTCGTGTAAAAGTACTTTTGTAAGAGTACTTTTATAAGTGCTTTTATGCTTTCATAAAAGTGTTTTCGTAAAAGCACTTTCATAAAGTGCTTTTATAAATGTATTTTTGTAAGTACTTTCGTGAGTACTTTATGTAAAAGAGATTTCATAAAAGTTATTTTCATAAAATTACTTTTGTAAAAGTGTTTTTGTATAAAATTGCATGTGAACACGAAAGGTATTAAAATCTATTTTATTTCATTTTCATTAACAAAATGAAAATTGGCAGTGGTTTGGAAGTGTAATGCAATGTTTGCACGCTAGGAGGTTTGAGTTCAAATCAGTATATGTTTTGATTTTTGAGATTTGGCGTGTATAGGTAGAATTGACTTTGACCCAACCCATCCTGACCCTAATGGGTACCGTCGACCCAACCCACCACCCTAACCTTTTTCCACTGACCCTAATGGTGTTGCTCGACCCATATTGACCCATCCATAGATTGGGTGGGTTCCAAGGTGAGTGGGTTAAATGGGTTGGGGTCAAGATTACCAGCCCTACCCACTTCAACTGTACTTTGGGCCTAAAAATTATGACCCTGGGCTGAACCATCATTCTCCCTTAAAAAAATGGGATCCACACCATTAAGTTTTTTATAGAGCGAAGGGTAGGACTAAAATACTCAAAAAAAAAAAAAACATTATATTTGGAAAAGTTGTAACAAATGAACTGGTATAAAAAAAGTGGTAACCAATTTTCTGTCACAAAAAAGTGATAACCAATCATGTGATATTTATTAAAATTTATGGGTGGTGGGTGGGTGAGGTGTAAGGTCAAAGGTCTTCCAAAATAGGATCCGCCAGAGGGCTATTCATATCTAACAAAAATAGGATTAGATTTGGGTCAGACTGGATCATGATTCGATCCATTTGCACCCTATCTAATATCGTATCTTTCTAGCAACATAGAATTTTCTTTGTTCAAATTAGGAAATTGAATTAGAACCATTAATATAGGCCCCATAGTTTTTGAAGTAGGTTTTTTCTTTTAATTTGTAAGTACCCATGTGTCTAAAATTTGCACTTTTTATGAGGGGAATTAATCATTATCACTTATTTTCACTATGGATAGACACACATCTAAGGAAGAAGGCTTCTATTTGAAAGAAAAACCCAAAATGATGAGCTATTTTATTTTGCAGGACCTGTCAATCCAGCTGACCAAATTGGACCTGATTCCAAATCAAGTTTTAGCATATGGGCTTTGAATTGGACACGATTGGTCCTGATATTCTGCAACTTGGGCTGTTTAATCCAAGCCCAACCCAAAGAATATAGGTTAGGTTGAAGTGTGGATTAAGGTCAAGGTTGAAAAGCATGGACCCAACTTAATTTTGGGTTGAAGCCTCGGCCAATCGAACCCGACTTAATTTTATATTTGTATGTATAAATATTATATAAACATGTATTTATTCATGCAAATATTCTTGTACATATTCATCCATGCATATTTGTATTTATGTATTTATATACGTATCTATATATCTGCATATATTTCAACAATTTTAAGTTTAAAGACAAGGAATTTTATTTTTCCGAATCATGATAATGTATTCTTATACATATAATAATGCTAAAATTGAATCGATCCCAACCCTTAAATTTAGGAAATAAAAATATTTGACGAAGGAAGGTAGAGAAGTAGGCCCAACGCAAGCCCACCCTGAGATACTTTTGGTTGGGTTAGTATTACTGTATTAGGATGGACCTCAATCCATCTAACCCGGCCCAGCTTGAACCCCTAGTAATGCCAATTATTATTATTATTATTTAAGTAGGAATATGGAATCCACCAAATTGTGTAGATTCTATGGTTTCAGGGGCCCACAAAATCATTAAGTCCACCACTTTTTTAAGTGGCAAGATTGGCCCAAGCCCAACTTCGTAAATCGCAAGGCTCGCCAGGGGGCTCATGATTCGGTTAATCGAACCAAGGGCTTATTTTTGAAATTGAGTCAGGGTTATTGGTTTTTGGAAATCGGTAATTAAAATTGAACCAAAATCAATCGGTTAACTGGTTTGATTAATCATCAGTTTGGTTCGTCGGTTTTTTATTATTTACATTATCTTATAAAAGGATATATAAATATAATAAAATAATAGAAATATATATAAAATATTATATTTTAAATAATAAATAATATTATATATTATAAATATATATGTATATAGATTTATATATATAATGCATATTTATTAATTTATAAATATGTGTATACTGGTCAATTCGGTTAACCACCGGTTTTATATTTTGGTTAACTGGAACCGAACTTGTACCTTCGATTTTTATAAAATACCAAACCGAAACTGAACCAACCGGTTTGATAACCAAATTTTTGATTCAGTTTTATCAGTTTATTCGGTCAGTTCGGTTTTTCTTGCTCACCCCTAAGGCTCGGTCCTGGTCCATGATTTTTATTCCCCACTCTGGTGGAATGGTCTATTCAGCTCAGTCCATATATTTAATATTTCTTTAGAGTCTATAGTATTCTGGGTCTAAAACCTATTGGGCCATCCAAACCCACTACAACCGGTCCAACCCCATAACTTGGACGGTTGGCCCGCCTCCGCGTAATCAATGAAACTGGTCGGTTTGTCATTCAATTAAACATGAAGCGGCGCCAAAAATTTCAATTCTTTCCCGTGGTATAGCAATTGGTTAAGCGGGAAAAGAGAGAAAAATTAAAGGCCGATAAATTTCAATTAAACAGAAATGGACGGTCTCTAACAAGCCAGCTCATCGATCCATGTCGAATTCTTCAAATCTTCCCGCGGTTTCGTGGCGCCAATAAAAAAATTTCGTTTCCTTCTTCTGCTTTTAAATTGCCACAATATTCGAACAATCGAATCCCAAAAAAGGGTTACTGGTAAATCCGTCGTCTCTCGCTCTCTCTCTCGTTCTTTAGCTTGGTCTCTCTGAACAAAACATGGCGGGAGCTTCGTCTAAGTCTACTCCGAGAGCAAGAAAGAGAGTCGAAGTGGAGAAAAGTACTTTGAAACGTGCCAAGGATGGAAGCGCTTTCACTAGATGGTAGGGTTCATCTTTTTAATCAGTAGTTCATCTATGATTTAGTTGTTCTGTTCGTCTGGGATTTTTTGGGTTTTCAGAATGTCTGTTCCGGAAGCCTTGCGGTTTGTTTCTGTACATCCATCTATTGTTTCTCGGTTTCTGGGAGGAAGTCTGTGTAGTGTTTTGATAACATGCAGATCTGTTTTTTATGTCACTACATTGTTACTAGCACTATTCAAGTACATGGCATGCGGCAGCTTCTTAATTTTTACTGGTGAATGATGAGAGTTGGGTTTCTGTTGATTTGCAGTGAAGAATGTAATAAAGATGTCCCCGTGGTGCTTATCGACATGCATAGTTGTAGCCTTGATTCTAAGATCAAGATGAATTTGGGTACTTCCGCGCATTCTTTTGCTGAACATCTAAATCATCTAAATGGGATTCTTTGTTTTCTTTTATTTATTAACCAGTTTCGTTTTCGTTGCAGACGCTCAAGTTGTGGAAAGAGTTACTGAAGTTAATAAACCTACAGAAAAGTATGATTTTTGCTCGTTTCTGTTTTATTTTATTTTATCCTTGTTTTAACAAGTATGCCGTTTCTTTAGATTTAATCTGGGATTGAGTTGTTTCTGACTTTCTGGTTTTTAACAGGAAGAGGAAAGCAGTATCATCAGAGCCAAAGACAAAGAAAAGTAAAAAGGAAAAGAAAGTGAAGGATCCCAACATTCCTAAGCGTCCTCCAACTGCATTCTTCGTTTTCATGTAAAGGATCTCTCTCTGTCTCTGTCTCTCTCTCTCGCATGCTTGTTTTTCAGGAGATGCTTATTACTGGCTTTATTTGAGTCTCTTTCCTAATTGCATGGTTTTGATTGCAGGGAGGAATTTAGAAAGGTATACAAAGAAGAGCACCCAGACAACAAGAATGTTTCAGTGGTATGATTATGGCATGCCTTTAGCCTCAAGGTTTTATCTGCATTTGTTTTCTTTTGGGTGTTTTGAATTCATTTTAAAATCTTGACCTAAAATAATAAATAGGTTTCTAAAGAAGCTGGAGAGAAATGGAAATCAATGTCAGATGAAGTGAGTGGATCATTGCTTGTCACTTTTATTTCATCTACTGTACAGTATCTTCTTTTTAAGGTTTATGGAAAATTGATTTGAATTTTGTATTTGGCTCAGGAGAAGAAGCCTTACTTGGATAGAGTTGCAGGGCTTAAGGCAGAGTATGAGAAGGCCATGGAGGCCTACAATGCTGGAAAGGAAGAGGTATTTCTTTTCCCTATTAACATACTCTGAATTATTTGCTTCTTATTTTTCTCATTTTGATGTCATTATATTAATAGCTTATTGTAAATGCCCGTTTATTACCATACCAGGAACAAGGAGGCTCAGAGAGGGAAGAGGAAGAAGCGGAAGCAGAACAGTAGATTATAAGGAAGAATATTCATAGAGGCCATTTTGAGTAACCTTAAATGTATGGGTTGACTGCCATCTGTAAATGCTTAAACCAGTTGTGATCATTGGGTTTTGTTAGTGGAATCCATTTCATAATAGCATTCCAATTTCAATTCTACATCCTCTCTCTCTATCTCTCTGTCTCTCTCTCTCTGCAATGATTCAGTTGAACATGCCCATAGATGGGCTCTTCGCAATTCAAATGGAACGATTGGCTACTAATACAAGGAATTATGTAATTCTTATTTGTGAATAGCGTCAATAGTATTGAGTACAGAGTTAACTAAATTCCCTATCAAATCCAATGGACTGCTTCCCTTGAAAAACAAGCAAACAATAAGTGTAATAGTGTATTCAGTAAAAAAATAAAGGATTTCAGTTATTATGAAATAGAACTCTAATCTGATTTAACAATGTTGATAGGGCATGAAAAATGCCCATTGGTAGTTGGGTCAGCATTTCACTGACCCTACTCCTGCAGGTTGCTTATCTTGCAAGGTGGCATGGGTTTGTCACATAAGCATTGGTTGTGGGCGTAAGCAGCCACAGGAAAAATGTTGAATGGTCTCCCTTGCGGTATCCCTCCACACAGTCTGTTTGCCCTGAAGCTTGCATGCCTGAGGCTCTGTAAGCTTAGAAAGCTGTCTGGGATCTTCCCACTGAGTGCATTGATGGACAGGTCGAGCCATTGCAACTTTGGAAGCTGGCCTAAGCTTTCAGGGATGGTGCCCTTAATCTGGTTCCTTGAAACATCAAACCTTTCTAGTTCAATCAAGTTTGAGATTGAATCTGGGATTTGACCTGAAATTCTGTTGCTTGCCAAGTTCAGCAGTTTCAAACCCGAACCTTCACTGAACTCTGGAATCTCACCTGTGATTTGATTGTTTGAGATGTCTATAAGCTCCAGAAATCCGATCTTGTTAGTGTCTAAAAGTGTTGATATTGGCCCATAGAGTTGATTTGAGTGGAGATCAATAGAGGAAAACGCATCTAGTAATGCAATCTCCGAAATGTTTGACCTCAACTGGTTGTTTGCAAGCTTGATCTTCTGTAAACTTGACATGTTTGTGAAGAAATTTGAAAACCCACCTTGAAGAAAGTTGTCAGAGAGGTCAATGGAATTAAAAGAATCTCGCTTTGCAAAGCTTGGGAGAGTTCCCTTGAGGCCACAGCCAGCCAGGTGCACGTCTGTAAATTCTCTTCTACTGATCCAATCGGGAACGTTTCCTAAATGGAGGTTGTTATAGGACAGGTCTATAGACAGCAGAGACGGGAGTCCCTTTGTAAGGGCTGGTAAAGGATCTGACAGAGCATTTCTGGACAAATTAAGGTACCAAAGCCTCTGTAACCTTGAAATGGAGGCTGGTATTTGACCAGAAAGGCGATTTCCACTCAGAGAAAGGCTGCTAAGTGCGTTTAGGTTGCCAATGTTGTCAGGGATTCTTCCTGTAAGTTGGTTATGGCTCAAAGAGACGTCCAAAAGATTGGTCAAGTTACAGAGGGAGCTGGGTATCTGGCCTGAGAATTGGTTATTGGAGAAGTCAATGAAGGTCAAGTTCTGAAACTGTCCCATAAAATCTGGGATTGACCCAGATAAATTGTTGTAACTAAGATCAAAATACTGCAAATTATGAAGGTTTCTGAAGGTGGGTGGGATTGGACCTTCTAGGGAATTCTTGGCTAAATTCATCTGGATGAGGTTTCTGAGGTTTCCTAGACTCGGAGGAATCTGTCCATTCAGATGGTTTCCATTTAATGATACAGTCTGGAGAAGAGGCAACTGACCGAGAAATGAAGGTACAGACCCTTGCAATGCGTTGTAATCAAGGACAAGTTGGGTGAGACGGGTAAGCTTTGAGAAGCTCTCTGGAATGGGCCCTCCTATTTGCTTCATCCCACTTATCACCATCACCTCCAGGAACTGTAGGCCAGCCAGAGAAGGGGACAGCGTTCCCTTCATGCAAAGGCCACTCTCTCTATCTGAGGGTCTCTGCAACTGCAACCCAATCACTCTTCCTGCTGTGTTACACTGAACACCTTCCCAGTCTCCTCCACAGCAATCCTTACCAACCCATGACGCTAGAATATCTGTTGTGTCCTTCCAGATTCTGGATTTGAAGCCAAGAAGTGCAGCTCTATCTGCTTCCGAGCAAGCTATGGTTTGTGCACCTGTTTCAGCTAGGGTTTCTGAGAGCACAGCACAGAATGAAAAGGCGAAGACGAGATTGAAGACCCATCTCTGTTTCTGCATCTTGGGAGGTGGATTTCGATCGGTTTGAGGAGACCACTGGAAAATGTATGAGATTTTTGAGGAGGGAGCTGGGTTTTGTCCACTGAGAACTATGCTGCCTGGAAAATTAAAAGACCCAAAAAAAGAAAAAAAAGGAAAAGCTCAAAAGCTGATTTGGGTTTCTTCCTTCACGTAGGGTGGAAGGTACAATGATGAAAACCGAGTGAAGAAAAGGTGAAGAATTATAATATGGTTGGAGGTTTGAACGAGGTCTGCTATTTATAAGGAAAAAAAAGAAACTGAAGCCGAATTACCTGCTTCTTGTATTCTTTTTAATTTTGTTCACAGGTAATTTTGTGACCGTTTGATGAATCACGAGGACTCCAATTATTTTTGAACGTTGGAGCGCTTGGGATTCAAAATTCATTCTCTTTACAATCCTCAGTAAATGTGAATTCCATTGGTTTTGTTTCACTCTGAACCAGTTACCATCATTTCTGATTTCCTCCATGTTTCTCAGCGATCATGACCATCTGATCTGTCTTTTATCTGTATTTCCAGAGTCCTGATCCTCAAACGGAAATCAATCTAATTGTTGGATTTTGTCTACGTAATCCTACCTTTGCCGAATCTAAAAGATGTTATCCAATCCACAGCTTTACTGGCTGACAAGATGAAACGAAGAAAACAGAAAAACGGTTGTCTAGGATAGAAGGTCCCAAACAGATAAAACACATTTTTGTCAAAAAGCTGACAAAATAGAATGTGCCCTTTTTTTTTATTTATGTAACCCCATTTTCTCTTCCAAAGATATGAAGGGTTTGCTCTAAAGCATGTCTTTTTACAGGTCCCACCTTGTCTGTGGGCTGTGGCGCGTTGGATGAGCATCTGGGCTGCCTGCAATGGATTAAAAATTTAAAAGAAGTGTAGACTGTAGAGCAACATTTCATTAACTCTTCCAGGCTCCATCCATACTTCACAGGTTATTTTGAGCAATCTTAACATAGCAATGTCCTTTGATACTGAAGAACCTTCATAGATTAGATTTGATCCAAAAGCCCTTAATTAACATTCTCTGTGCAATAGATCCAACTGTTCCATTTCTTCAGTGTTGTCTTGGGTAGAGGAAAAGAAAAAAAAGAAGAATTCATACTCAAAAGCTTCAAAAGCACATGGGGAACATTCCTGTAAGAGGGGGAGAGACCTCTTCTCTCTTCTGAGTTCTGAGTTCTAACAACACCATCAAAAAAAGGGGGAAAAGAAGGAAACATTTCTAATCTCCATTGAAGGGACCAGACTCCTTGTCAGATGCTTTTGGGTTGGTCAGAATGTCGGCCACTATGTTAGGGCTAGCCTCTCTACCTACAAATCTTTCTTTAGTACATATCTAGTATAGTAGGTCTAAATGGGTTAGATATAGCAAGGAGGCCTATTAGCAGAAATGGGTGCATTAGAAATCACTTTCCAGCTATGATTTGGGGGACATCAGCTAGTGGTTTAAACCCAAACCATCTCACACTACACTCCACTTTGCTTGGCTTTGGTGAGAGGTCAATGTAGCAAAAAGGAATCTCTTGTTTGGGGGCAAAAGATACTATATTTGTATTAATTATTTTTGTTATACAAGGTTGTCTGAGCTAATGGGAAACAGAAAGCCATTCATTAGAGAAAAAAAAGCATTTTCTTATCCTCTACTAGTTCATGGACAAATTGATAAATGGGGGGATTCCTGGCCCACCAAGCCAAACCCATACTCTAATACTCTATTTTGGATAAAACCAGCTAATAGAACAGACTATTCTTATAGAATATAGCATTTTCATGAAGTTGATTCCAACCACCATCTAAGCAGGAATTCCTTGGTTTAAGAGAATGTTTTTAGTATATACAGTACCAAATTTAGGATCTTATGTTTCATGGATTTGATGATAAACTAGGGTGCAAATGAATCGGATAGAGGTAGATTCAATTTGGTTCGTTGATATTCGAAATTGAATTGGATCTTATCGATCGGTTTTGTGTCAGATTCAAATCAAATTTGAATTGCAATCAGATATTGAAGAGTATAAATAAAATAAACTAAAAATGATCAAGATATTATATAGTATTGATAAAATGAACTAAAATGACTGATATATTATATGTTATAAACAAAACTAATTGAAAATTACTTGTATGAAACTTGAACATAAATAAAATTTAGCAAAAACACAACACTTAAATTAACTTTACTAGTAGGTATTTAAAATATATATTAAGTATATATGAGCAAATTATATTTAAACTGAATTGAATTATATTGGATCGAATAGGGGTGGATCCATATTCGGTCCAATCATGAATTCAAATTTGAATTCAGACGATCAGATACCACTTACAGCTCTATAAAAAACAAAGCCAGGGGTAGAGGTGTTAATGGACTGGTTTTGGATCAGATCCTGTCCAAACCAAAATCAATTTGGATGGATTGGACAGACCAACAAGATATATTGAATTGGACTAGTTTGGATTTAATTGGTCAAAGTATTTATTGGATTGGATTGGACCTGGTCCATCCATAATGAATTTATATTGGATTGGGTTGGATTGAGTCAATATCTGATCTTTTGATTAAAGATAGGAATATAAGTGTCAATGGACTAGGTTTGAGTTAAAATTTATATAAATTAAAGTAACTTTAAACATATTGGATGTTCCAGACATTGAACTGAGCCAGATCAAAATAGTCTAAAATATTCATTGGATTGAATTGGACCTAGTCCATTTATAATGGACTTGCATTGGACTGGATAGAATTGGGCCAAATCCAATCCAATTGACATACCTAATAGGTGTATAGAATTTAGGGGGTTGTTCACTAATAGGTATAGTAGAATTTTGTTTGTCCAAACAAAATTAACTGTCACATCAACAAGAATATGTGATTTTAGTGATTGGGCAGTTATTTATTTATTTATAAATAAAACAAAGTTTTTGAATTGTAGTATATGGGTAGCATCATGGAAATTTGGATAATTTTAAAATCTCAAGAACCCAAACTGCCCAATTAGGATTTATATCAATCAATTCCATCTTAGATAAACAAAATACCAGGGGGGCACTGTCATTCAATGATATAAGCAACTTTTAACTTTCTAGTAAGCTTACTAAAAGCAGGTAAGCTATGCCAAATATGGTAAAAAGAACTTCAAGAATTATGCAATTTATCTTCAGAGAATTATAATATTAATCTTCACACTATCTAATAATCCACAGTGGTACAAGGTGTTCAATTTTAATGTCTAAAGCAACATAAGCAACATAGGCCATTAATTTTTCATCTATTTAATATATGGTAAACATATTAATTTACACAAAATTATAAAAGTTTTGGCTTCAAATATCGAGTATTAAATGAAAAATGAGTTACAGAACTTCATATTTCATTGGTTGAAATTTTTGGCCTTATTTTTTCAATTCTTGAAACACAAATACTTATAAGCATTTTCGCTATTTAGGGTCCATTTATTTCAGGCTGCCTTTGGTAAATTTGTTGCACCTAAAATGAAAGAAACAAAAGTTTTCCTTGAAAATGTGTGAAAAAATTCAATAATCTGCATGAAACATTTTAGGGTCTATTTGGTTCATAGGAATAGGGATATGGAATTGGAATTAGAGTGGTCTATTCAGATTCCAACTATTTGGTTGGACAGAATTGGAATCCCATTCCCATTTCTAGTAGAATGACATTCCCCCATTTCATGGAATGGCCATTCTCACCCCCTCCCTTGGGAATGAAAATCTATTCTAACTGATTACAATTCTCATATGAACCAAACAGCGAGAGGAATAGACCATTTCAATTGCAATTCTTACAAATTTCGATTCCGATTCTGACTACAAACCATATGGGCCCTTAATTGAATGTCTGACCCTATATACATCATCATCTAGGTCTTATTCCAACTATATGGGGTCAGGTACATGAATCCCGTTTGACTATTCGGTTCTATTCATTATCATATCCATCATTAAATTATAGGTGCTTAAATCATTTCTAGTACTTCCACTAGGTCTTTTTTTGATCTGCCCCTTTTATCAAACCATCTCAGCCTACTTCGTTTTATCAAGAGAAAGTTCAGTCTCAATTAATTAATCCACCCACAAACCCTACTTGGAAGTGGTTGCCCTCGATCTAGGGTAAATCAATGAGGGGTTTAAAGAATTGTATAAAAGAAATGGTTTTCTATCATCTACAGCCTTGGCATTTGGCAATAGCAAAGCAATTTAGCTTATTATTCTCCTATTGCAAAACTAATTATCTCTCAAAGCCAGCAAATTATATGTATATAAGAAACCGCGTGAAGTACAAAGTGAGGATTCTGTGGAAGCAGGAGAGCCATCATCTCTTGGCCCTTCTAATCAATTGGTCAACATCTCATCTCAAGGCTCTGCATTTCCTTTCCTTGATTGGTGGTGCATTTAAATAAGCCCCCCCATTCCAGTTTGCTCTTCTTTTTGTTGTTTCTGAGGGTCTCCTGCGCTAATCGCGGACAATTATAAAGCTGTGGAGAGAGAGGGAGAGGCTGGGCGTATGGTGTGATTGATTTGCACCGTCTCCCGACAGTCTTTTGGGCCGGTTTGACTCCTGTGGCCGCTCGGTCTGTCACCGTTGCACGCCTACGAGGTACCCTGTGATTGGCCGAGTTCTCATTGAGCCTTCCGCCCATTGAAGCCACACGGGTTCACACTTCACAGTTGCCGTCACTGTCCATGAAGAACAACTAGCAGTGAGCCAGCGAGACCCATGGCCAAATTGCCAATGCAAAAGGCTAACAAAAGCTCTTTTTTTGTCTCTGAAAAAGTAATAGTACATTCATTGAAGGGGTGTGGGGGGTGCAATTCGAGTACCTAATTTGATGATTTTCTTCCACTGCTTTGGACCGGAGCTCTTTCAAAATTTTACAAATGCTCAACCTGATTTCCCTCCCCAGTTGCACCCCTAAAGAGAAACCTGAAAGAAAGTGAATGGAACAGCTAGAATTTCTGTGCAATTGGAATGTTGTTCATGATAGCGCGAGGTGTGTGTGTGTGTGAGAGAGAGAGAAATGTGGTCGACATGAAGATGAGCTAGCATCAGTCATGGGCCATAGCCATGGTCTCAGGCTCTCAGCAAATTCTTGGAACTGCCAATAAAATGGGAGGACAGTATATCAAAACCATTTAGACTCAGTAATATTTATTTTGGGTTAAATACACTGTAAACCCAATGC